CATTATGAAACTTACTTCCATGTGAACATCCATAACACCAGGGGCCAGCAAGCTTTTTCAGCCGGGGGCCGGTCCACTGTCCATCACACCTTCTGGGGGACCGGACTATATCTTGAATTTTTTTTTGAAAGAATTCCTATGCTCCACAAATAACCCAGAGATGCATTTTAAATAAAAGCACACATTCTACTCATGTAAAAACACACTGATTCCCAGACTGTCTGCAGGCTGAATTTAGAAGGCATTGGGCTGGATCCGGCCCCTGGGCCTTAGTTTGCCTACCCATGCATAACACTGTAGTGTTAAAGCAGAGATGCTCTCGGCTTAGTTCCTTCAGCCACTATGTTACACCTGCTCCTTAATCCTAACTGAAGTGAGGTGGGGAGGGAATTTTGCCATATTAGCTTAGCGGCAGCTTCACCTGCTCCGGGTCTCAGCTCCTGGTATTAAAAGCAGATTGCACTACCTTCACTACTGGGTAGAATATTCTCAAAACCATAGAATCATCAGGAACCTGAGTGGGAACAGTGTTCATGCCTTGCTTGTAGACTGCCCATCAGCATCTGACTGGTCACTTTAAGAACAGGATCACTGGACAAGATGACCTCTGGACTGAGCCAGCAAGACTCTTCTTGCATTCTTAAATTCTTATGACAATTCTAAGAAGCAAGCTGGTGGGCTAGACAGATCTCTGAGGGTCTTGACATAGGATTCTAAAGGCCCACCTAATCCTGCTTCCTAACCAGACATGTCTAGGCAATCCAGAGGAGGCTATGAAGGCAATGAAGACTGTTGCCCATCTCTCACCTCCCGGTGGTATACTGCCCTTGAACATGGAGGTTCTATGTAGCTATTAGCCTTCCTTGGATTAGATTCAACGTTAATCATGCTCCAAGCAGACCCATTAAAATTAATGACCTTAACTTGCTTGGGCCCATTCATTTCAATGGGTCTACTCTTGAGTATGACTAACACTGGAATACAACCCTATATATAGCAGGTCTGGGGGACTTTTAGCCCTTCCAAGTGGCGTGGAACTACAACTCCCATCATCCTCGGCCAACAACCACGCTTGCCAAGGTTGATGGGAATTGTACTTCAGAAACATCGAGAGACCCCAAAGTTCCCTACATCTGCTATGCAGTTATCATGGCTAGCGGCCAGTCACAGACCTCTTTCCCCAAAAAATTGCCTGATCTCCTGTTAAAGACCTGAAGACGGTGGTTTCAATAAATTCATTAGATGTTGGGTGAAGGCTTGCTTTGTTTTACCCAAACTTTCTAACATTCAGATTCATTAAGTTTTGCATTTCACAACCGGAATGGAGCAGGTGTTACACAGCAAGGAAGGAAGCCGCCTTTATGTTGCCAGGACTACATCTCCCATCATCCTTGACAATTACCCATGCTGACTTTGGCTGACGAGCGCTGCAATCCAACAACATCCTGAGGACCACAGGTGGGCCACTCCTGCTCTATCATACTCTTCGCTGGGCTTCACACTTACCTGGGACCAACTCCCATTGAACCCAGCAGGGCTGACCTCAGAGCAGATATTGCAACAGGACTGCGCTGTTAGTGGTCTTCCTCCTGCCCCAATCCCCCAAATGCCCTCAACTGCCCTTGCAGAGAAAGACATGGTCATTTTGGTTGCAACTTCTGCAGCTCTATGGAAGTAGGACTTGCCAAGGAAAACTGTTCCCAGTGGATCGTGCCTTTTGGATACAAACTTGATGCTATGTCCCCTAGAGTAGGCCCACTGAAATTAGAGCGCTCCTCCTGAGGGGGGGGGGGGGGAGGAATGTATCTGTGAAGTAACTCAGGAGCAACTTTCAAATGGCCCCTGCAATTTTATTTTTTTGGAAGAAAAAAAAGCGTAGCAACTATGCAGTCTTTGTTTAAATGGAGCAGCTCCACTATTAACAACACAAGCAGCGACATGCCAGATTCCTGACTCAGGATACAAGATTGGTAGAGACTTCCCTTGCCTTTAAAAGAATAAATAAATAAATATGCGTTTTTTCCCCTCCCCTTTCATATTTTTTTGCAAAATAAACAAAGCAATCACTCCCGGCATAGTACATAATCGTGAAATCTGCTTGGACTCAACAATGACAACTGTGAGAGATCAGATTTAATAGCAGGATGGGTCTGTTGCAGTACAGAAATATTAGCAAATTGCACGTTTGCCCTTCGAAGCATTTGTAGATCTAATGATGCAGAAAATAACCTTGGGCTATTTAATAAAAAATAAAAAATGTGAATGCTGATTGTTTGGAAGCTCAATGGAGCAGGCTTTCTGTTTAAAGTCAAAAGGAAGGAGTTTATTTTTCCTTTCACTGGAGAAGAAGAAGAAAGCAGCCACCACCATCTTGTAGAGACATGGCTTCATTCATAAACACGACTTGGAATATTTTTTCACAAATGAATCCAAGGCAATAGATCTTGAAGATAACAACACAGTGGCATGAATTAGAGGCAATGTGATGGGAGTCCTTCCTGGCTGGAGAAATTATCCTGAGCATATAAAAGTCACAGCCACCTACAACACTGCTGGGTTGTGGGGAGGTTTAAATTATGAGGCTATATTGAAGCTGCATTGCTGAGCATGCAAAGCGTAGAGTTCTGACACACAAGTATAATATCTTACAAGAGAAGGCCAGTTAGGAACTCTACACACAAATAAATATCCCATTTTTATATTAGGAAAGAGCCACCACGTGCACAGGATCCCCTATCAAAGTTTGCCTGTGGCACCTGAAATTCCATGGTTCACCCAGACACATTCATCACTTGATGACTGCAACATCAGCTAACACTGCAGACAGAATTTCCGTATTGACTCAATCCAAACATAATACTTTTGGGTGGAACTTCACACATTAAGCCAGCAGCCCTCAGGTAATCTCCAGCATGCCTACTCACAGGTAAGCCTCCCCAAGTACAATGGGGCTTACTCCCAGGAAGGGATTGCCAGCTGAATGGAGGAAAATCACGTGACGGTCAGGGGCGCCGACTTATAAAAAATATTGGGGGGGCCATGCTGGTCAAGGAAGGCTCCCCTCCTCCAAAGCAGACCCGATCCAGGCGGCTCCATAAAGCTCCTGGAGAGAAGCGGGGGGGGGGGCGCGGAGAGACAATGCCAAAACTCAGGGGGCTCCTTGAGCCAATTGCCAGAGATGAGCCCCGCAGGGGGAGGCAGGGTCCTCTATAGCCCACCCCAGCTGCCCTTCTTGTATCTACAGCCAGTTTGGCAGGGGGCGGTGGAAGGGTCTGGAAGGAGCGGGAACCACCGCGGAGCACACATACCGGGAGCTGGAGAGGCAAGGCCCGGCCGAGAAGGGGCCAGCCCGGAAGGCGCAGCTTCACAGCCGAAGCTGTCCTCGGCTTGGGGAGCCGGAGAAGCTGTCGGGTCAGGGCCCTGGCGCAGGCCTAGCTGCTCCCGCGACACCTCTTTGCTCCCGGGATCGGGGCCGCCAGCTCAGCGCTGGAGCCGAGGGAGCCCCCAGGCAGGCCTGCGAGCAAAGGCAGAGCCGCCGGGCGGTGGCCGCTTCTGCAAGGCGGCCGGAGAAGCGGGGACCCCCTCCCCTCCCCGTGTCCCCCCCACTCGCTCCCCCCTCTGAAACTTTGTTAACACTTCCACACTGAGCCTCTGACAATAGGGGCGGGCCAAGGGCACGACGCGGCTGGGCCCTCTGGACTCGCGCCCCCCCCAAATAATTTTCTTAAATTATTGGGGGGGCAGAGCCCCCCCAAAAGAATTTTTGAGGGGGCTCGGGCCCCCTCAGGCCCCATGGAGTCGGCGCCTATGGTGACAGTAAAAGCATGGGTGATCCAACACTAAATCTGTCCAATCAAATGTAGGGGAACATTTTGATTTTATAGATGGGCAGAATGCTTGCATCCAACTAAGTCCTACTCTGAGTTGCACCACTGAAATCAGTGGGCCAATAAGAACTGTGTTGATTTTAACCGGTCTACTCTAAGTGGGACAAACATTGGGTGCAACCCTGTGAGTTCAAAGTCCAACTTAGTTAGGCCTTAGCTGTCATCCTTAGTTCCCTGCTGCAAAAATGGAATATTAACAAAACAAAACAAAACCCCGCACAACACAAACTAAGATTACTGCACATGTGAACCCAATGAAGAATTTAAGTACATTTTCCACATTTCGTGCCATATAAATGAAAAGTCATAGTAGAATTTCACAATTCTTGCTTTGAAGAAAAGCAAGGCACAAATGCCAAAAAATAAAAAATAAAAACAGTAGCAGAAGAAGAAGTTCCCTGCTCATGTAGACCACCGAGAGCAGGAGTTCCGTCACTGGATGTCAAACACAATCACAGCCACACAACCAACAATTCAAAAGCATGAGCACAACTGATCTGGTCAGACACACAAGCGCTGCTAGCCATGATGGCAAAACAGAGGGGCCAAGCTCCAAAGGCTCTGTACTGAAGAATTCAGGTTGCCTGGGGAGCAACCTTCTGGGGAAGGCGATTGCTTCAAACCCTGCTTGTAGAAGCACCCAGGAAAGACAATAAACCAAGCCAGACCACTCCTTCCTTCAATCCAGCAAGGTTGCCATGTTTTTTAAGATGCATCCCTTATACACACAGACGTGCAAGAACTCAAAATACAACGCTGGGCCGGGCTGGAAGCAGTGACTCTCTGTCCTGAGGCCGAAATGTTCCCGCGGCTTGGGAAAAATGCCTGACTCAGCCTGCGTCCCTGAAAGCTGACCTTTGGGTTCCATCTGCCTGCCCAAAGCAGGAGCGAATTTAAGAGTGGACAGAAGACATTTGGAAAGCATCGGTCCCATGTGCAGAGCCGCCGGTGACTCCCCACAGAGGTTTTTAAGGAAAACGCATCACTCCCCAAAGCAGTATCTCTCTCTTTTTCTCTTTGACCGTTTCGTAAGATGACATGGATTTAACTGGCAATTCGTTTATCGTCTCAAAAAAGCAGAAAGTAAGGGGGAAAAGCATGGAAATAATTTACCTACGGAGTCAATCTCCAGGAGGCGCTGCAGGTCACGGATGCTGTGGATCTCGCTGTGAGCCAGCCTTTCAATCACCTCTTGAGGGATCTCAGCTTCCTTAAAAAAATAAAACAGACAGACAGACACAGGCTGATCGCTCTCTCTTCTCTCACTCCAAAAGCACTTTCTGAGTACAGCCTGTAGGGTTGCATCTTGTGGCCACGGAAGCCTCTTCGTCTGCTCTCTAATCTACTTCCCCCCCTCCTCCAACTGCTAAAGGGCAATTTAAATCATCATCATCATCATCATCATTTTGAAGCCGCATCCAGCATTGCACCAAGCAACACAAATCCTTGCCATGAAACTCTGCTGCTATCTGGCAGGTGCCTACATTTTGCCTGCGTTCGCCAGGAGGTTGGAAACTGTTTGGGGCCCCACCTGATTGTGAGGAGAGGGTCAGAAAGACTGTGTTTCTCACCCAGGGAATTTCACTTCCTTGATTTCGGAGGAAGTCCAGCAAGTTTGAAAGGCAAAAAAAAAGGGGGGAACACTGGTTGGTTGGTTTTTGACTCACATCCCAAGCACACTTCATTGGAAGTAAATCCTATTGAATTCTGCAGGAATTAGTAACCGTATACAGGTACAGGCTGCTCAGCTGCCATTTCACGCACACTTACTTGGGAGTAAGTCCCGTGCAAAATGAACAGAACTGATTCCTGAGTAATCCTGTTTAGGATTGGGCTGTTGGGGCGGGGAGAAGGGTGTCCCTGGGCACCATCGTTAAAAAAAACCCCACGACATGAGATAGATCAAGTTTAAAGGCAGCACAGCTCAGTAACCCAGCCAACTCCTGGGAGCCTTTCCAAGAAGGCAATCCTATGAGCTCTCCCTGGGGAGTAAGTCCTCTTGAACTCAGACAGGGCTTTGCAAACATGCATTGGATCAGACCAGGAAGGACTTTCCTCCTCCTCCTCCTCCTCCGTATGTACTTGAAAATTGCCTCTCTTTCTTAATTACACACACTTGGTTTGCAGCGTAAGAGATATTTATCCATGCATTTCTTTTCAGCAGCAGGAAAGTTAGCACAGTAATAAAGTTTTAGGTTGGCATTGGTGTCAACTTAGTACTTAACTCCCCCTCACTTAAAAAAAAAAAATCTGTCTGGTTGGGAATGCGAAGGAAGGGGGAGACAGAGAGAGACAGAGGGAGGGGGAGATTATAGATCCAGAACTAATACAATCCTACAGGTTTCCCACGTCGGAAGACTGCAAAAAAGCTGCTTTGGGAGCTATAATTTTACACATCACAGTGTTTACAAGCAAGGTCAATCCAGTGTAGCTTTTAAAAGAGATGTCCTTCCTTATAAGTCATTTAATTCCCACATCTCTTTCCCCCAGAAATGGCCACCTGTAATACTCCTCAAAATTGGAAGGGAAGGAGAGGGAGAGATTTTATCAAATCCAAAACTATGCCCGTGAAAATCCAAAATATGCCCATAAAGAGCAATAAACAGGCTTAAAGGGAACTCGTCCTTTCCCCCCAAATAAAGCCAGAATCCTAAACAGTGCATCTATGGTCAGGGCAGGTGGACCCACTGAACTCAGTGGGATACGCTTCCAAGTAAACACGCTATGATTTTATCTCTTCTGACCTTATAAAGTGAATTCCTAAGGTGGATGGAGGTAACGCGCCGCTCCCTCTGGAATGCCAAAGCAAGGCTCTACTACATCAATTAGAAACCCACTAGCCTAATTGCTTCATTATTATTCTATTTTAGCAGATTCATGCTAGCTTCTCATTAACAGGAAACCGCGCTATTAAAATCCCTCTTCCCAACTCGCCTCCCCACCCCGCTCGCCAGGCGGCACTCGTGCCGACCCAGGGCGCCGTTTGCAAACCGTTCCAGGGGACTTGCAACGCGCGTTCGAACGCTCTCACGTTTTACACGCGTGTAAGGGCACACACAGCAAGCAGTGCAACCCCTCGCCTCCATGCCAGCCCCGGGGAAACCAGCGTGCTGCACGATCTTAATTCGGATCGCAGCCATGCATCTTAACGTGACAAGCGGCTCTCCACCACCACTACCTCACTACTTGATCTTTTGCAAGATTTTAGAAGCGAGTCTCTCTCTCTCTCCCTCTCCTTTTCCCCTCCCTCCTTCATCCAGGGCGAAGCTAAAGCCATCCATGGTATTGCAAACATAGTAGGTCTTCCGACTTGGGCTGGGGGGGGGGCGGTTTGGAGAGATCAGCCTCTCTCATGCAAAACATTAAGAAGCAAAGGGGAAGAAGGAAGAATTACACTTGTCATGCAAAACTATAGAAATAGTTCAGGCTTAAGAAAAATAAAATAAAGACAGGGATGTTGAGCCTGCTACTGCCGCCGCCGCCCGGATCTCTCCCCCCGCCCCACCTCCAAACCCCCCGATTTCCAACGGCGAAGCACCTACCTCCGCCAGCACGAGGGCCAGGTAGCACAAGCCTATGAGCCAAAATCCTGCCCAGGTCCTCATCGCGGTCTCATGCACTGTAGCCAGGAATACAATTCAACGGGGCTGCGAAGGAGGAGCACCAGCCCGCCTCCCTGGGCTGGGAAAATAACAACCATCCCTCAGAGGGATCGCCACACCGGTGTGGAGTTCTCTCCGGCTTGGGCGCTGATCGGGGTGGCGGCGGGGAGGATTGGGGGGGCGGCTCTCTTTGGATTTATTGATTTCACAGAGGATCGATCGGGGTCTCCTTTTGCGCGCGGGGTTTCTCTCCTCGGGTAGAGGCGCCACGGGGAGAAGGAAGAGGAGGCTTACAAGGGGGTGGCGGTTCTTGGTTTCCCCACCACCACCCCACCCCGCTCTCCAAAAGATAAAAAATAAAAAACGCGGGTGGTGGTGGGGGAAAAGGGGGCTTTGCAGCTGATCTCTCTCGCTCCTCTGGCTCGCTCGCTTCTCCTGCGCGTTGCCTTCCTTGGCTTTCGCAGGACTAAACCAGCCGGTACTTCTGCATATTTGCTTAGATCGCAGCGAAGTGAAACCCTAGCAGGCCGCCGAAACGCCCATCACCTGTGTCTGGAGACAGCTCGCCCCCTTCCAGACATGCGGAGAGTTACCAGTCCCTCCTTCTCAATCGCTCTTCCTCTCTCTCCACCCCCCCCCCCACCGCTCACCCCAACCTGCTTTCTAAATACCCACCCACCCCGCAGCGAGATGGGAAAAGGAGGGGAAAGATCGCTAGCTGATCTTTTGCAAATGCACCCTTCTCTGCAAGGCGCATCCACGCCCCTTTGATAATATTAGATTCGCATGTATATACTACTGTACTTCTGGTGGAGCGGGAGGAGGGGTGGGGGGGGAGAAATAATAAAGGATCAACGTCCTTTCTGCAAGTGTGCACCCTTCTTCCGCGAGGGAAACAGGAATCTTCTTGCTCGTTTGCTTTTTCGGGGGGAGAGGAGGGGGGGAAAGACCAAAATATTAAAAGGACCGGAAGATTTGCTAGAGGAAACGGAGCCACTTTGGGCACGGATTATTTGCAACAACAAAAAAAGTCACTGTGGTTTTTAATTTAAAATGCAAAAAATCCAGCAAGGTTGATCAGGCGGAGACATGAGGGCGCACGGACTCCGGCGTCCCTTTTTGGAGTCTCCAAAATGTTCCCCAGGCGGCGCGGTGCGGGGTCCCCTCCCTGTGTCCCTGCCCAGGCACCAGCTCCTCCCCCCCCCCCAACCCTCCGCCCTACACCGTGGTCGGCTCCCGGCAGGCGGCCCTAGACTCGTGTAGGTCTGCCGCTTCCGAGCCGAGAGGGGGGGAGTCTAGGGCGCCCGGCGTACCGCACTGCCAGCGCCGAGCTGCACCACGCCGCACCGGCGTCCGCGCCACCTCGCGCCCCCCACCCCCAAATATATATAAAAATAAAAGAGGCGGAGGTGGAAGGAGCAAAGGGATTGGAGATCGGAGCCCGAGGGCTGGGCGGGAAGAGGGCGATCTTCTGGCAAGCGCCCCGCAACTCTCCGGCATTGCTTTATATCAATGGTCTGGGAGGGGGTCCCTTTTTCGCCTCCTTGCCGCCGCCGCCGCCTCCAGCGCCGCCTTGTCACCTCGCCCCGGGTTTCTCTGCGGCACTGGGGAGGGAGGAGGGAGGGAAGGAGAGAGGGGGAAGGAGGGATCAACAGCCGACGAGGCTTCTGCGCAGATCCCCCGTTGTAACCTTAAGGAATCCACCTTGTACTTTATTTATAAGGCGAAAGGGAATCGCCATGATTAAGCAAAAGCACGCCCTCTCCCTCCCAGCAGCCGGGTTCAGGGGCGAGGATTATATGGGAGCATGCATAGAAATAGATACAGAGATACAGATATATATATATAGATATAGATATATATATATGCATACACATATATACATACACACACACTTACATTACATATAATTATGTGCTCAAACGTGCTTGAATTGCTTTTAGCTGCAAAGGAGAGGAAAGGGTTGCTCTCCTCATTTTAGTCTTTGACTGCAAAACAGCACAGACCTTACAGGTGTCTATCCCACTGAGCTCAATGGGACTTACTGCCAGATAAACAGAGAGGAGGAGTTCAGCCTTTAAAGATCCTATTTCCACGTTGGTCTCACCAAGTCAGAAGTTTGCATCTTTATCATTATTATGACACATTCATAGTCTGCCTTTCTCCCAAGGCGCTCAATGTGGCAAACATGCCCCCCCCACTCTGTTTTTATCCTCACAACAACCCTGTGAGGTAAGTCGGGCTGAGAGTCTGCGACTGGCCCAAGTTCACCCAGCGAGCTTGGCTGAGGATTTGAGTCCTGGTGTCCCCAGGCCTAGCTAAGAATCAGAGAACTGTATAAAGGGACCCTGAGGGTCATCCAGCCCAACCCCCCTGCAATGCAGGGATCTTTTGCCCGACATGCAGCTCGAACCCACGACCCTGAGATTAAGAGTCTCATGCTTTACCAACAGAGCTATCCAGCTATGCCTCAGATGGGGTGGCATGTTTTGCTTACCTGCAGCGTTCGCCAGCTTGGTGCCGTCCAGGTGTTGCTGGACTACAACTCGAAGTGACCTACAAGTGGACTCACAGCTGTCCATGGAGGCGCAGGTCAATTGTGTGTCCAGGGCAGCTGTTTATCAGTTCCACCTGGTACGCAGGCTGAGACCCTACCTGCCCGCGGACTGTCTCGCCAGAGTGGTGCATGCTCTAGTTATTTCCTGCTTGGACTACTGCAATGCGCTCTACGTGGGGCTACCTTTGAAGGTGACTCGGAAACTACAACTAATCCAGAATGCAGCAGCTAGAGTGGTGACTGGGGGTGGCCGCCGAGACCACATAACACCTGTCTTGAAAGACCTACATTGGCTCCCAGTACGTTTCTGAGCACAAATCAAAGTGCTGGTGTTGACCTTTAAAGCCCTAAATGGCCTCGGCCCAGTATACCTGAAGGAGTGTCTCCACCCCCACCCCCATCGTTCTGCCCGGACGCTGAGGTCCAGCGCCGAGGGCCTTCTGGCGGTTCCCTCATTGCAAGAAGCAAAGCTACAGGGAACCAGGCAGAGGGCCTTCTCGGTAGTGGCACCCGCCCTGTGGAACGCCCTCCCATCAAATGTCAAAGCGATAAATAACTCTGACATTCAGAAGACATCTTAAGGCAGCCCTGTTCAGGGAAGTTTTTAATCTGTGATATTTTACTGTATCTTTGGTTTCTATGGAAGCCGCCCAGAGTGGCTGGGGAAACCCAGCCAGATGGGCGGGGTACAAATAATAAATTATTATTATTATTATTACAGAAACAATCCTGTCTTCTTAGCGAAATCCAGGAAGTGTGGATAGCTCCTCTTGTTTCACTGACAGTCTTACAAATGGCTCCCTTTGGGCCCATTTTGCTGCCTGAGGGGAAGGAAAAGATGGCGGCTCTTGGAAAAAAATTAAAGTATATTTACAGAAATATTGTAAATTAATGAATGTTAGAAGGATGCTGGAAAGAAGTTATATGGCTCTAGTAGAAATGTTATTAAGAATTAAGTAGGAATGGATTGATTATGGGTAAAGGTGTAAAATGCAAGGCTAAATTGTGTTAAGATAAATTATGGAACTAAATTTGAGAAAGAGGGAAAGGACTTGCTGAAACAACTAATTGAACTAGAATACAAAAAGGGAGGTGTGAGGAAGTCAAGGAAATAAGCAAATGAAAGATAAGGACATGAAAATATTGGTGTGGTGTTTTTTTTCCTTTTTTTCTTTTTAAATGTTTTTTCTTTTTAAATGTTTTTGTTTTTTCTTTCTTGGTGTTTTGATGTATTGTGGCTGTTGTTTTTTACTGTATTTTTTCTTTTTTTATCTACTTTTGAAGTTCTGTAACCTTTTATTGTTTGTTTTTCTTTTTTCTGTATTTGTTAAACCCTAATAAATATTATTTTAAAAAAAAAAAGATGGCGGCTCTCCCCCTTGGGCTGGCAGCTGGAGTTTTTGCCTCAGGGACCAAAAAGTCATCTGATTCACAGAATTGCCCTGGTTGCAATGTACACCCCATCCGTTGAAAGCTCATTCTTCCCACCCCGTTGTCAGAATCCCGGGAACTGTAGTTTGCAAAGGGTGCTGGGAACTTTGGCGCTGTGAGGGATAAACTACAGTTCCCAAGTTACTGGGAGTGGGTGCTTTAATTGTATGGTTGTGTACATAACCACTTTTTTATAAACCCTTCTTGGTATTAAGGACACGGTTTGGGGTTAAGGCCTGTTCTGTCCTGCTCCCCAGTGGCAAAGTATGGGCCAAGCCCATTGTTTTGATAATACGATAACACTTGCAACCTGCGAGCGGACTGCTTACAAACGTAGACTCTGCTCGGATAAATACGAAAAATTGGGAACGACTTTATACAAAACGTAGTAGACTATTAATATTCCTATTAGTATTAGGATAATGATATCAAATTTACAAAAGAATGTATGGGTTAGGGAATTTTTTGTATATATTCATATAATGTTTCCTTCCCCCCTCCCCGGCTTTACACAGTTCTGTGTTTTGTCCTTTCCCCCTTTTCCTTACTTTTGTGTCACTTTACTGCTTTATATTTGATTCCCCCCCCCCCCAATAAATATCAGTTAATAAATGGGGGAGAAAAGTATGGGTCAAGCCATGCATAGACTTGGCTTAGTTGTATCTATTGATCTCCTTCTGTGGAGCCTGTAAGAGAGCTCTTCCGCCTGGCCTTCAATCTGAACTAGCCTGATCCTCTATTCCTTTTTCCCCTTTCCTCTTCTATGAAGAAACCCTCCCCCCCATGACCTCTTAATTTTTGAATTTTATTGATATTGATGCTGCATTTTATAGTGTATTTTATGCTGTTTTATGCTGTTTTTAAGTCACATTCGAATCAATGTTTTATATTTGCTGTTAGCTGCCCTGAGCCCAGTTTTTAAACTGGAAAGGGCGGGGTATAAATAATTTATTATTATTATTAACTTGGAGAGGGGTGTGTGTGTGTGTGTGTACATACATATGTATGTGTGTGCGTCGGAGATCGATGGGCGCAGCAGCAGCGTGCTGGGCCCATAACCTGTTGTTGGGATACTGCCAGGGAGACAAAGTCCATCATGGCCCCACGTCGCCTCCAGACGTCCATCGATCTCCCGTAGACACGCAGTATCAGCAATTAGCGACACGAGCTCCAGAAATAGCTTGCCACATTCCAGAGCTTATGCACGCTCTTATCAGCAGATAATGCACAGCGAAAGATGCACGCAGGAGAGCATTATTTATGAGTTTATTCTGCGTTCGTCAGAACAGAGAAAAACATGACTGCCTGCTTCAGTGTTTCAGGCACTGAGAGAAACGAAAGCAACAGAAAACTTAAACATCCTGTGAACAGGAAATACGCAGACTCACAAAGCCTGCTCCTTTTAAGGTGGAACGGAAATATCCTAACAGTTTACATATCTCAATAAAAAAGATGTAAAAATACAGATTCCACATCCAATCCAGCTACTGCTGAGAGCCAGCGTGTCAGATTAGGTAGGACTTGGAAAACCAGGATTCAAATCCCCGCTTTGTGACCTTCAGCAAGTCATCATCTTGGCCTAGCCTCCCTGGAGGAAAAAGTGGTATATAAATGCAACAAATGAATAAAGCAATCATAATATAAAACACCTC